ATTCGTTTTTAAACTTAATTACTTCGTTGTTTAACCTTTATGTGTCAATGACCCAGTCGCCCTTTTTGTTATAATAGAACAACTCGACCTTTCACCCATGGCAGTGTTTTTCATTGCTTAAGTTCATTTTAGTGTATTGAACCCGACAGTGTCTAAAAAAATATTTTAACAAGTTTCTGTCTCACATATGCCCATCATCACTAAAAAATGTTTTTCTTCATAAATAATATTAATCATATACATGGACAGTTGACAGTAAAGATGACTAAATATTAATTTTAGCAAACTGCCACCTGGCTCAACAGACGAAGGGATAGCCCCTCTGCAGCCCCAAACTCAGAGCTAGTGGAACTTGTACGTTTTGAGCTGACAATTAATTGACAAATTTTAAATGACAATAGTGTTAAAATATTTGAGTGGCTTAATCTTTACCTGGTTTGTAAGATTTGCCAACAATTTATAAATCCGATATTCTACATCTTTATAAATTGTTTTGTTTTTCCGAAAATATTTGTTAAAGCAGCTTTTTTTATGATCAGACTTTTGTTATATATAAATTATGTTATCATAAATTTACTTTATGTACTTCAAAGCTTAAAATGTCCATTACAAATTTGTTTTTAACTACAATGCTATATAAAAAGTATCCTGAATTCAGTTCATCAAAATCCACTCAATAATGAATGGTTTTGTCAATAAAAACCAACTGTTTTTTGACGGTAATTTTTCCAACTGATTGCAGTATTCAAGTATGTGTTTTCTTTGACACAATACAGTAAATGGCACAAAGCTATAACTTAATTTATAAACCTACATGTATTTATGAAAATGAATTATGAATACAGATTCCCAGCTGTCATTCAAATTTGTATATTTTATGGTGATTGGCTTAAGAGCTAAACATTTCTATGCCCATGATGCACATTTAATGGAATGTTGGAAACCAGCTAAGGAAGGGTCCATGAAATGTCACACTCATTATTCAAATTGGATCAGTGTAGTTGGAGCTGGGTCCCTGCACTTTGTTTTACAATGTATCGTAATATTGAATTCAAAACAACGGACTAGATTTCCGGGTTGACTGGTTGCTAAGCTACCAGTATCATGTATGTGAAAGGTATGTTGAATCAGCGTTGATTCACTTCCGGTCAGCAGGAGTATGTTGTTTTAGGCAGATTTTTTACTATACCAACTTGAGTTTTGTACCCAATAGCTGAATTAGGCTTATCTAGCATATTTGCATTTCGGCTAGACCCAATTGCGTCCACGCACTGGGAGGGCCAGTCTATAGCACGGGCTAAGGGACACCATCAGTCGGTGACCTTTGTTAAGCCGCTGTTTACGAAAATCTTTCTAATTAGCTTGAATATCCTGGTAAGCGTTTTTTCTGTTCCTCTGTGAGGAGTCCAACTGTTGTCTTTCCATATACTCTGTAAAGCTTTTGTCTCTTTGTCGCTCCAGTTTTTGCGAGGGAATGAAGTTTCATACACACTGAGCTCGGTTGCCATTTTGGAAATGACAAAGTTGCATATATTTGATCACGTGCATAATTTCACACCCAAATGTCGCCACAGAGGGCGCTTAGCCCTGGGCTAAGCGTTCACGCACTCTTTGTTAGCCTGTGCTAAGTGTCTGGACTGCATCTTAAAATTGGATCAGATCTTTCCCATACTTAGCATTCCTTAGCCCATGCTAAGCATTCACATACGTTGTCTTAACACTGGCTTAGAAATTTGACCTCTTAGCTATGCTAAGAAGCTGTGCATGAACGCAACTAATAGTTGTGTTCACGTTACACGAAGTACGGGCTAAGATTTAAGCTGATTTAGGCTTATCTAGCATATTTGCATTTCGGCTAGACCCAATTGCGTCCATGCACAGGGAGGGCCAGTCGTTAGCACGGGCTAAGGGGTGCCATTAGTCGGTGACCTTTGGTAAGCCGCTATTTACGAATGAAAAATGGATGATACGCGTGAGGTTCTATTTCTGCTGCTGGCATGTTTCATTCTAATTTTGAAGCGACGTGCACAGGAACGCGAGAGAAGACGGACCCAACTTATTTGGATGCACATAAACAGTATACAACGACATAACAGAATACAGAGTTTTATTAATGCATGTCGTAGACAGCGAACCAAATTTATTTTGTCTACGATTGGAGCTGCTGTACGCTCTACTACAGTGACCCGATTAGTGTGGAAGCGAGCGCGGAGTAATGACTGGTGGAATATTGTCGTTATACGAACATGGGAAATTTTCACACCCAAAGGTCGCCGCAGAGGGCG